TGATCCTCTATATGAACCAGTCTCAGTGTAGTCCTGATCCTCTATATGAACCAGTCTCAGTCTAGTCCTGATCCTCTATATGAACCAGTCTCAGTCTAGTCCTGATCCTCTATATGAACCAGTCTCAGTCTAGTCCTGATCCTCTATATGAACCAGTCTCAGTCTAGTCCTGATCCTCGAGGATGTTTTCTACTCTTACTGTCACTAAGAGGATCACACAGGATGTCGCGGTTCACCGTTTTTTTACCTTTCACAATAAAACCACTAAATCTCTCTGGCCAGACTCACAAAGAACAGGAGGCACTTGTTCTCCCGGATGGCTCCGCAGCAGCCCAGGAAGCCCAGCAGGAACAGCATGCTGCCCATGGCCAGGACCACGTAGACCCCCGTGAACAGCACCGGGTTGGCCGCCACGATCTCCCTGAAGCCCATCGGGTCCAGCAGCACCCAAATGCCGACGCCCAGCAGGAAGGAGCCACCCAGCTGGGAGAGAGAGAGGGTCAAACAATCAGTTAGACCGGATCCCAGTGTCCCCCTTAAGGTCCTGAACCCTGAACCCTCAGGGACTCACTGACGTCACCTGTTCAATGGTTTGAGTGTGAGAGACTGTGAGGGCTTGACACGGTGTAAATACAACGAGACAGCACTTTGTGGGTATTTATTTTATATGCTTTACTTTTATTCTTTCAGGCTCTTTCCTCACAAGATGAGAGGGCATTTCAAATATATTTACTTGTTTTTGTCAAAACAGCTTCAATGAATAAATCAAATATTTGATGAATAAATAAATAACAATGCTCTGATTTCATGTGTTTTTATGTTCCATCTTTAATGTTTCTGAGTGAATTTAATACTCCAGGCTGAACACAGGTGAGCCGTCCTCTTTGTTTACCTTTTTTTTACGTCTCCATGCGTCCACTGGTTACCCCGTGTTTAACGCCCCACTGCAATGAATTGTGGGTAATTCTCTTGGGCAAAGTCTGCATCTAATGCTGACTTAAGGAAAGGGTTCATAAAGGACTCAAAATGTCTGCGAGAGACTCAAACACTCGATCATTTGACAGACGAACAGAACTAAACCCGCACGGACTCAAAGTCTGTGAGTTCTTCTACTTCAGATGCTTTCTGTACTGAGGAAGAAGAGGGGTTGGATCAGCTGAGGAAGATGAGCAACACTCCCACCTCCTGTCTTACTCCGCTTAGGTTTTTATTCTCTGTTGCTTCATGTTTTCTTGACTCTTCCTCTGGTCTGAGTGTCCATGTTGTTTGTTTTATTGTGGTTTTGATGGCTAACGTTACATCTGGCTGAGGGGCAAACACCTGCACACTTACAGGGTGGATCGTTGGGAGTGAGTCGCCGCCCCCGAGCTCAGAAGTTCAAGTCCCTCTGGGGTTTAGTCCACCAGTGAGCGTGAGATGAACAGGCGGTTTGGTGCAGCGTCAGCAGCGATGCCGGCGTTGAAGAGGGACAGATGAGGACACATGCTGGGCAGATTGTATTGGATTTGGTTAGTGACCGCAAGAATGAGATCGCAGACGTGAGCAGAACAAAATGTGCTTCCTACGAAGGGGTGGCTCCTTCAGGTCGAAAGGGACCAGCTGAAGGTGGTTCAACCTCTGATCAGGATCCTCCTGGAAAGCCTCCGTTTGGAGGTTTTTCCAGGAGGAAGACCCAGAACACGATGGAGGGATTATATATCTGGTCTGGGAAAACGTTTCTGGGTTCATCAGGAAGACGTCAGTGAGGAGATGGACGTCTGGAACAACCTGCTGACCTCGGATGAGAGGATGAAAATGGATGTTAACTAGTCTGCTTTGTCCCTTTAAAAATCCATATTAATATTTAAAAATGAATAAGTACGATGGGTCACAGTTGAAGCAGGAAGTCGCTCTGTAAACGATGGATGTTTAGAACAGACAGCTCGGGTTCATAGTTCTACAGTGAATACTTGATTTGTTTGATTAACCTGCTGCTTCGTCTGTTTGTTGGAGCAGCAGTGACTTTAGTGACGATGTTGATTTAACGGCAAGAAACATTTCCCCCAACTTCAACTGTAATGAACTGTAGTTTTCCTTTCAGTGTAAATTCCAAATGCAAAGAATTAAAGTTATATAACCTTGAAATCTTTCTCAGAAACCTGTTAAAGAATCATTAAAGTGCGTAAAGAGAATACATTACTTTTGCTTTCACTCAGAGCTGATTCCTGTTCACTACGTTCAAATATTCATCCGTCGGTGATTTTGATGAAGGAACATTAGAAGCAAACACATTCTGAATCTCAGGTCAAAGAACTTCAGACAAACAGGAAAATAAAGCAGGTTCTTCTGTTCAGTGAATGATTTAATAGAGATTATAGTTTGTGTTTTTGGTATAAAAATAAAGAATATATGCATGTATATGTTCATTTAATGTGTTCTGGTTAAATGTGTGAATCAGGTTCTACAGCAGCTCTGCAAACTGAAATCACAGTTATTATAATTTCATGGGATTGTTTTCTGGTCTCCTTTGATTTCAGTCTGATGTGAAACCACAGAAGAAGAAAAGCAGAGAACCCGGTGAACTCACAAAGATGAAGAAGTTGAAGATGAACATGAGGTACTTCATACAGCTGAGGCAGTCCCCCTCCATGGCCGAGCCTCGAGCCGAGACCTCCCCCTGGCCCTGTGAACACACACACACACACACACACACACACACACACACACACACACACAATAACATAATAACAGTAGAGAGAATGCAGCTTTAACACACTTCAGGACCGGAGGTTACCGCCTGGTTAACTGCTTGCCACATGTTTAATGACAGAAGTTATGACGTAGTAAACCAACAGTGCACCGTCAGTTCACCTCCAAACGTTCCTTAAAACCAGAAGATGAAGTGCTGGATATTTTGATAATTAAATAGTTTTAATCACTTTTCAACTCATGATTTGTTGGCGAATGAATCTTACTTTTGATTTTCTGTGTTTTACATCTTTGTAAATTGCAATTCGAACATGTTACAATGATCTCTAAGATATTGTGATGAGCATGTTTGTTTTCCAGATTTCTGACATTTTATAGACAAAATGATTAATCAATGAATCCAGAAAGAAATCAGCAGATTATATATATATATAGAATGAATACATATAAGCATTAGCTGCCTCCCTGCTAATATCCAAACACAACATATTGAGGCTTTGAGAGTGAATTCAGCAGGATTCAACACTATACGTGCTTTTAAAGGCTTTGTGACGACCACAGATTTAAATGTTCTTAGATGATGACATGAATACTGACCAACGAAGAATTTAGACACATGAAAATAGTCTGAATGATAAATAGCATGAATAAATATAAAAAAATCAAGTAGTGTAACGTTACGCAGCATGAAGTCACTGAAGATGTTGATGTGAGCAAAAACTCAGGACAGAGAAAAAGCCCGTTGACATATCGCCGGTCACAGTTTGTGTCGAGTCGTGAGGACGCTGACAGCTTGTCCCCGTGGGATCCTTCCACACACGGAGGACACGTCGGTGTGAGCGAGGGCCGTCGGTGGGGGTGTGAAGAGGACCAACTGTGCACTTATGGTCCCTGATGGTGTTTACCAGTGAAACTAACATGCAGCCACCTGGCACATCTGAGGCGAGCGGTTTAGTTTGAGAACTGTACAATTTAATTTAAGAGCACAAGTACTGATAGTCGCATTTATTTTGTCCAATTTAAGCTTTTTAAATGAAAAAGACCAAAACGAGCAATGTGTTAGTCCGTCTTTAAATACTTCCTGTCTGTGGCACTCCAGATATTAATCTGTAAACACAACTCACAAATAGGTTCATGTTTAAATAATAATGATTAATTAATTCTCTAAAACAGCGGGTTAGTGTAGTTTTATCAAACAAACAGGAGGAAATGTTGCATCTGTTGGGGACTATTTTCAGCGGCGGATGAATCCACATTTAATGAAGGAACAACAGTGAAGCTCATTTTAGCTAAAACTCAAAGTCTGTAAGTCGGTCGAGCCATAGACTGTATATAGGACGTGGCTGTAGTCGTCATGCCAACACCCATTGGTTTGTAGACTGCTGAAGCCTCGAGTTTGGCGTTTTGGCCGTCGCCATCTTGTTATTTTTGCAACCAGTGAACAGGAAGTGACCATATCTGGACTGAGGAG